AATGGGGATGGAGGGGGGATTGCAGAATCACTATTTATTTTAGGTGTTCTGATTCTGTTATGGTTGTTGTGGTGTTTGAACTTATTTGAAATAAAATATTTGGAAAACTTGCTTATTATCTCCACAATATTTAGTTATTTATAGCAGGAGGTTTTTTTTTCACTTCAGTAAATATTTTCACAATACAGAGTGTTAGAAATTAATAGACAGCTATTCATTTAAAAAAAAATTGAAAAGTTGCAATTACCAAGATACTCTAATTTGTATTGATACAACAACATCACACTAAACCTTCCTCTGTTTCAAGCACAATTTTCTTGTTAATCCACCTCAGTAATTACAGGTTTCAGAGTAGCAACCGTGTTACTCTGAATCTGCAAAAAGAAAAGGAGTACTTGTGGCACCTTAGAGACTAACAAATTTATTAGAGCAAAGCTGATGAAGTGAGCTCTAGCTCACGAAAGCTTATGCTCTAATAAATTTGTTAGTCTCTAAGGTGCCACAAGTACTCCTTTTCTTTTCACCTCAGTAATGTCTCTTTCCCTTCTATTATTGTTCAACTCAGCTTCTCTGATTTCAGCAATTTTGTTTAAGCCAAATCTGGCTTTAAAGTGCTGCATTTTCTTCACATATAAAAGTGCTTATTATACTATGAACTAAACACCAACAACCTAACCCGGTGAAAATCAGTACTTTTCAAAGCAGTATTTTTTTTTTATTAATACAGCTAGAAACTTTGGTCTCGTGATTATTTTTCTTGCATGCTAAGATCCCTGAGGGCTGGTCTACACAACATTTTGTAATGCTTTGTGTAACCCTTTACTGTGGATGCAGTTATATATTTACTGTAGCATATTTATATTAAGTAAATTTAACATAATCAGCTGTACTGATATAAACACTCTATATTGGTATAACTGTATCCACACTTGAAATTGCACCAAAATGACAAGCCCTTAATAGTAATTGGAAGAACACATTTTAGCACTTGAGTGGTAAATTGATCTGTATTCTTGCTCTATATTACGTTACTACCCACAGTCCCAAGGAGAAGTTTTGGCAGCCATGGATCAGTGGGAAATGGGAGTACCCCAAGCCTGTCCCCTTTGCCATGACCAAATGCCAGCACTGGGGAGGGTTAAGAAGAAGGTTCAGCCATGATGGTGGCCTATATCAAACCAAATGAATCCACATGGAGCCCTTTGAACTCTGTGAAATGCAGGATGCTTTATGCCACCAGAAAGGTAAAAAAATAGCCTTAATGGGACAGAGACTCTGGCCCAGGAGTGGGCAAACTTTTTGGTCCAAGGGCCACATCGGGAAATAGAAATTGTATGGCGGGCCATGAAGGGTCACAAAATTGGGGCCTGGGTGTGGGCTCTGGGGTGGGGCTGGGGATGAGGAGTTTGGAGTGTATGAGGGTGCTCTGGGCTGGAACCGAGGGGTTTGGAGGGCGGGAGGAGCATCAGGGCTGGGGTAGGGGTGCAGAAGAGGTGCAAGTTCCGGCTGGGGGTGTGGGCTCTGGGGTGGGGCTGGGGATAGAGGTTTGGGATGCAGGAGGGTGCTCCGGGCTGGGATTGAGGGGTTTGGAGAGCGGGAGGGGGATCAGGGCTGGGGCAGGGGGTTGGGGCATGGGGAGAGGCTCACGGGGTGCAGGCTGCGAGCAGCACTTACTTCAAGCAGCTCCCGGAAGCAATGGCATGTCCCTTCAGGGAGGTGGGATACCTCAGTGATTTGAGCATTGGTCTGCTAAACCCAGGGTTGTGAGCTCAATCCTTGAGGGGGCCATTTAGGGATCTGGGGCAAAAACTGGGGATTGGTCCTGCTTTGAGCAGGGGGTTGGACTAGATGATCTTCTGAGGTCCCTTCCAACCCTGATATTCTATAATTCTCCAGCTCCTACGCAGCCAGGAGGCTCTGCAAGCAGCCCCATCTGCAGGCACCGCTCCTGCAGCTCCTATTGGAGCGCATAGGAGCCAGAGCAGGGCCATGCTGAGGCTGCCAGGAGCTGCGTGGTGCGGCCCTGACCCAGTGCCCTGGCAGAACCAGTGTTAAGCTGTGTGTTGCGGCCCCACCCCGGCTGGAGCACTGGAGCAGGGCCAAGCCGTGTGGTGCGCCAGAGCGGGGGCCAGCTTCAAACAGCTCAGAGGCTGGATCCGGCCCGAGGGCTGTAGTTTGCCCACCCCTGATCTAGCCCATCTTTTGAATAAGAGGTATCCCTGATGCAAGTTAAAGTTATTCCTGTTCTTTTCATGATGACTGTGTGTTCGTACCAAATTACACTTTTCACAGCATGTGTCTACTTATAATTTGTTTCTTTATGGTAACCAGATAGAGATTGAGCCTAAACTAACTAAAATCCTTAAAAAGCGTTGTTTTTAAAAGAGATATTTATTCTGTCTTGTACAGCACCTAGCACAATGGGGTCCTGGTGCATGACAGCTCTTAGGTGCTACTGCAATATAATAATAGTAGTTTTGAATAGTCTGTTTAATGCCATTTGTAAATTAGCACTATATAAATGTAATTTTGTTACTTTTTTAATAATAAAAACTAAAATGTGAATATAACAATCTTGTTCTGATTGATACATTTTGGTCTTGGCTTGGAGAATCCTTTCTGGGGGAATCTACTGTCACACCCTCCCGCACATCCCTTCTTGGAGTAAAGACTGGCTGTTTCTGACAAATGGCTTCCTCCAAGAGGACCTAATATATCCACTTACTAGGAATTCAACTACTGATGGGCATATACATTTTAGCATGATTATGCAATAAAAATAAATACATCTGCAGCAAACATGGTATACTATATGCAGCCTTGCACTATAATACGAAACAGGAAACAGCAGCAAATGAATCTGCAACTGACTTCTCTAGAGGCTGCACACTTCCACAAGTGATAGCAGGTGTGGATCTGGCTCTGGAGCGCTCTCTGAAACAAGCTGACAAAGAGCTGATAGCATTGTAGAGTTTAGTTTCTTCTTGGATTTATTTTGCTTTTAATGCACTTTGGTTGTGATAAATTTGCTCAGTTATTCTGTGTGTAGCTAATGTCCGGAACGTGAAAGTCTTTTGCAAGGCCTGTGTAGTGATAGAACTCAGCTCCTGTTCCCAGTGTGCTTTGGTTGCAGGGTCCACATAGTGTGCACACCATTTGTGGATCATTTGCCATTTGGTTTTGGTTGTTGGGGAAAGTTGAACAATCTTCCTTCTCCCTGCTGACCCATTATGACAATTCAACATTTCCCTCCAAAATATTATACAAGAAATTTGTGGGAGAGGGAAGGGTTGAATATAACTATGATAGGGCCAAAAGAGACCCACCTGCAGTGAAACTCTGAGCAGGAGAAAAGGGCTTGGGAAAACTCAAAAAGGTGAACCTTGCAGAGTTTCTCTTTTTCGTTCTTGTACTGAAGACTGAGAGGGGTTCTAGTCTCATGGGAGATCTCCCTAATCTTGCAGAACCTGGGATTCTAAGGGGAAATAAAGTTACAGCTGCATGATTCCTGAAGCATATGGATCCCCTTACATTTCTGCCTGCCCTTCTCCTCACCTCTGGCTGCATGACTTTGGGTACGTTCTGCTGTTTCTTTGATTATACACCAAGGACTCTGCCTTGCAAACTGCTGGCACTCTGGCCCTGATTCAATGAAGATTGTAAGCACATGCTTAAAGATAGCTGTGTGCTCCAGTGGATCATGGCCAGAGTGCTGAGTACCCTGCAGGATTAAGTCCTAGGGCTGTGATCAAAACGGCTCCCATTGACTTCAGTGGACTTTGGATCAGGCCTTTCGCTGAGGTGAGGGGAAGATCCTCAGAAGAATGTTAATGCCAGTAAGAACCCTGCAGATTTCCATTTTCCCACAGTTCTATGCTGTAGATACTCCTTTGACAACATCATCCATGTGGAACAGACTCTGTTGAACTTACAGAAATCACACTTTTATTACACCACTTACCGGGTGGATTTCTGCTTGGAAGTCCATTGGCATTTGAGGGGAATGTCTGAGTAGAGAAAGTGCTGCCTAGGTTTACTTTTCACCTTCTACCTTGCCATGCCCTCCCATACCCCCATGCCCATCTGCATTATGTAAGCCTAGCAGGGCAGCGCTTCTGCTAGCTTGTGTGAAGGGGCAGGAGTACATCATTGTCCTTTAAACACATTTTTGCCCACTTTTACTTTTGTTTTCCCCACTCTGCTTCAGGGGTCGTTCATATCACATCCCAGTCAGATGTGGTTCTTCTTGCTCTGATGTACTGTTATGTACATGCGTATGTAAAATATGTTTCATTATGTGTGTAAATATATTCTGTATATTATGTAAAAATTACCATTCTTATATTGATTATCGATTATAATCCCATTAGATGATATTGCGTGCCTACTGATGTTCTGTTCACTTGGTAACAAATTCTATGGTAGAGGTCAGAAAACAGTTTGTTCCAAACCCCTATTTTCACTAATTTACAACTTCATAATCTTATGGAGAAAAAAATCCTTTGGGTTTTTGAAATTTTCCATGCTTGGTGCAGCTGAAAGACTCTGGGGGGGGGGGAGGGTGAGTGGGTGTGTAAACTTTAAGAAAGTTCTGTTCAGCTGTTTTTGAGTTTTGTGACTGACCAAAAAAAAAAAAAAGACATTTTCTCACTGTTTAAAAAAATGGCTACATTTTTTTCATACAGGTAAGTATAAAACAAAAAAGTCTGATTTTGGAAACTTAAAAGTTAAGTTTCCAGCAACGGCATTATCTTGGCCATGTTTCCTGTTTTTTATATTTGATGATATGCATTGAGCATGAAGAGAAGTATATCAAGCTACACGCTTAGAGTTAAAAGAAAAATAGTAGCTCTCTATTTGCAACCTTTATTTTGCATGTCCTGACCTAATTGTGTAACCCTATGCTTTCATTAACATTTTGTTGCATTTAATAAGTAGATGTGTATAATACATATGTGTACAAAGTGTACACTTACCTATGTCTGTCCTTTTGAATGTAGGTATGTATCCTGTGCATTGGGATGCCCGTATGAAGGAAACATCATACCAGCTAAAGTGGCAGAAGTAAGAATCCATCTGTCTTTCATATGTTTTAACCATGCTCAAATTATTTTCTCTGTTTAATCCTAGAAGGGTCAATAATGAATCAAAATCCATGTAAAAGGAACACAAAAACCAAACAAACTCTAGACTTCGGTGAATAATTTTGATCAGCACTATCCACTTAGATGTAAAGAAAATAATGTGCTTTGGTGATAATCCGTCACAAAGCAACAAATGAGGAGTTATTTCCTTCAAACAGAAGGGCAAGGAAATACTTTAGAAAATAGACTCAAACGCACAGGAGAATAGACCTATTACATGAGATTATTTCTGGCATGATCCCCTGTAAGCAGCAGCTGCTGTTAAATTCACTCTGTGCTGACACCAGTTTGCTGCTCCACTACAGTCAAACTTGCCATTGAATCGTGGTCCTCTTGGCATACAGCACCTAAGTGCGGGCATCTGCAGCAGCTCCACTAGTTGAGAGAATGGACCAGGGACCCACTCACAAAATACTTTCTTACTACAAAGCTGTTGGGCATAAGTGAATAAGGAAGGGGAGACTGTTGAACATGGTTAAAAGAGGCTGCCTTGCCCAGTATGGAGAGAGACAAGGGGCAAAGCCAACAGGAAAGTAAGGCCTGGTCTATACTACACAGTTAGGTCGACATAAGCTGCCTTGCGTTGACTTAGCTGTGGAAGTGTCTTCACTGAAATTTGTCTCCAGCTGGCTAAGTACCTCTCTATGCCGATTTAGTAACACCACTCCACGAGCAGTGTAGAGTCATAGTCGATGTAATTAGGTCAACACTGTGTCAGTGTGGACACTGCGTTGCTTACGTTGACTTGCTGGCTGCCAGGAGCCATCCCTCAATGTTCCACACTGACAATACAATTGATAAAGGTGCTCCTGGTGAGGACATGTACTGCTGACATGGAGCCAAGCGTACAGACACACACAAGCGATTTAATAACTGTGGTGGCTGTATTCTGACATAAGTTAAGTTGATGTAATTTTGTCGTGTAGACATGGCCTAAGAAACAGCTGGATAGGCCTCCTAGGAGTCAGAGAGAGAGAGGGAGAACTGTGGAGATAAGAGGGGAAAGAGAAATCAAGAGGCACAATAAAACAGCGGGTAACAGCTGTAAAGATTGTCATTGTGGGGAAAGACACGTCACACTCTTGGCTTTTGGCAATATTCCCTTTTTTTTGCCCTATTGCTTTTTGTATTCAGCGTGGGGAGCTTGCAAGGCATGTCCTTTATCTCCACATTTTCTCTGAGTATTGGTGCCCGTTGGAGCTTGTGATAATGCTCCCACAGCAGCCACACACACATGCTCTCTGGAAAATTTGCTAGATTGGAAGGTATTCAGTATTTCTGAATTGACTGGTTTTAATATGAAGTGAAAACTAAGTGGCACGGGTTTAGATATAGTGATGATGACAGAGTCAGCTGTGCTGTAATGAATTGCTTGTTGCAGACATTTCCCCAACAGGCTTCTTTCAGTGTGTTGCTTATTTTAAGGACTACTTACCTTCCTTGCACAAAACTAGTCCCTTACAGTAGGAGTGCTCTTTAATGGCCCAATCCCGTAAACCTGTACTCATATAAGTATTCTGAATTGTACCTTAGAATCATAGAATATCAGGGTTGGAAGGGACCTCAGGAGGTCAACTAGTTCAACCCCCTGCTCAAAGCAGGCCCAATCCCCAATTTTTGCCCCAGATCCCTAAATGGCCCCCTCAGGGATTGAACTCACAACCTTGGGTTTAGCAGGCCAATGCTCAAACCACTGAGCTATCCCTCCCCCCAAATCCCATTCAATGTCTTCTTCAATAGCCGTACACCAGTGAGCACATTGTGAGTGATCAAAATAAAGTAGCGTCTTAAAGTAACTAATTTAGGCTCTGATCCAGCACATATGTCACTAGAAGCAGTGAGCAGCCTGGGTGGGTGGCACATAGGCACATCTGTTTATGTAATTTGCTGGGTCAGAGCTGTCACAGTTACGGGGCTAAATGCTCAGCTTATACCTCCTGATTTCTTTGAGCACACTCCCCCCCTCAGGCCTCAGTTTCTCAGGATGGAGTCCCGTTATTCTCCCATTCTCAGAATGGACCCTGGATTAGTCTTTTGTGTCTCAACATGATTTACCTCAGCGGATCTGACTTTATGTTCTGACCCTGCAATTCTGTTCCCTCTAGGAGCAATAACAGTGGTACCAAGCCCTTTTAAAGCAAAGTATTATTGATCAGAACAAAAACATTTCAGAGAACATCAGATCTTAAAATAATAAAACAGGCAAAATGCATGTCTAGCTTACCAGATTTCTAACCATCTGCTAGTCATAGTCTGTTTCCTTAACTCACAAGCCATTTCTCTCTCCCTCTGGGTAAGGGCTACTCATGTGGGTAAGTATTTGCAGGATTGGGCCATCAATTCCTATTTCAGTCCACCTTTAGCACCAAGACACTATTTGGACTGGAATAACCTAGTAAAATAGTCTGGGTAGCATAGAAAAAGGTTTTACTTTGATAATGTTGATGAAGTTGCTCCTCTTGAATATAAAACCCCCCACATTGCTAACATACGGGCTTGGTAATTCCCAAATTCCTGGAATTTTGAAGAATGTAATTCATCAGCTTTGTCCCAGAATATTAGGATGCAAATAGTTATATGACAGTGTGAAAGTACTCGCCTATTCATCTTTCCAATCCATGAGGTTTATCTGTAGTTAAAAAGAAAAAAAAATTGTTGTTTTTTCAAAATTCAATTTAAGAATTTAACTTTTGATCATAGCAAGGTAATAAAGTTAAAGTCCAGAAGGGACCATCATATCAACTAGTCTTACCCCCTGTATGTCACGGGCCACCAACATCATCTAGCACCCACACACTACACTCAACAACCAAAATTAGACCAAAACATTACAGGCCAAAGGAGCCTAACCTTTCATGTGCCCAAGGCAGAAAATAGGAGGGACTGAGGTGCACCAGTGCCTGAGATCCCTGCATGGCAGAGAATTAAGTGAGATTACCTAATTAACCCAGCAAGTGACATGCACCGCACACTGTAGAGGAAGGTGAAAAACATCCAGTCACTGCCAATTGGACCTAGGGGAAAATTCCTAGGAAAAAACCTAGGGCACTCAGTTGATGAGGAGAGGAACAGGAGCAGAGCAGAATTTTTTTCCTCTTCTACCTGACCCTTTTGGGCTCTCTCTTTGGGAGAAAGGGGGACTCAAAGACCCAGCAGTTGATGGAAGGAAGGTGGTTTCCAGCAGCTTATAGGGGAAGCGAGGGATAGAGATGCCTCTGCTCTTCTTGTCATCCTGAAAGTGCACCTCCAGACAATATCTTCAGCAGATAGTTAAAAAGACGGTCCAGAAAAAAAAGATGCAATCTAATATTTTAAACTCATGTTGAAATTAAAAAAGAAAAACAAAAACAGATTGAGGTTTATGAGCAGAAGTCCTCACAGAGTAACAGTACCATTCTTGAAGCTATGGTCTATTCAGGCACCTGCAGTGTGTTTGACTTGCAGCAAGACATGGGCCTTCCTTACACCAAGGTGCTTACAATGTAATGAATGTCCTTTTATTTTATTTTATTTTATTTTATTTTATATTAAGTGTGTGAGAAATGTATTTTGATTTGAACCTGGATCTTGGATCTGAAAGCAAGAATGGTTTTACTACATTTGCCATAGTCATAGCACTCATATCCGCCTTACAAGCTTTGAACAGAACAATTCAATCCACTTGAGTCCTTTTTCATCTGTTCTTTGAATTGAGCAAATAACAGCATTGCACCAGTACTTCCGGGACTGGTGGCAAAGCATTTTGTCAACCTCCTTTAACATATATATAGCAATCCGGCTGACGATATCCTGGAATTGCTTTAACAGTACCATGCAATACAAATGAAACTACCTTGCAAAGCAGTGTATTTTTATTTCTGTAATAGTAGATTTGCGGACTGGGATTCTGTTGCTGCAGGGTGTCCTTTTCAGTATGTTTGAAGCACAGGTGGAAATGCTGCAAGAAATAAACCTGTTCAGCAACTGAAAATAAGTTTTTAGACCATTTCCTAACAAATTCAAAGAGACTGTGATGGTAGTTGGAAATGCCTCCTAATAAAAAGTATGGGCTCAATCCTGCAATCCCTTATTTGCACTAAATTACTCATATGAGTAGTTCTAGTGAAGTTTACGGTACTGCTCTCATAAATAAGAACTATTCATGAGAGTAAAGGTTTATAAAATTGAGCTGTATGTTAGGAGTAAAGGAACCTTGTAGACTTTTAATTGTGTTACAGTTTTGAATTTTTTTCACTAAAATTTTTTTATTAGTGTCCAGTTTTCTAAAAATCAAGCAATCTAGGGACTAAAATTCCTTTGGTTTTCATTAGACCTTTGATTTCCAAGGAAAGAAAAATCAGGCCTCTAGTTAGCACACTCAGTCTGCTTGTTCCTGTGAAATGTGCAAACCTAAAGGCAAGTCTTTACTAAAAAGATACACATGGAAGACAGACCAGCTGGGGAATTCCCAGGTATGGCTGTCCCTAGGGGGGTGCGGGGCCCGGGACATAGACATCAAGTTTCTACCTGCGGGATGGTGCTCCCCCTGGCTCCGCCCAAGCCCTGCCCCGACTCCACCCCTTCCTCCAAAGCGCCACCCCCACCCTGCCTCTTCACATCCCTGCCCTGCCCCCACCCCGCCTTTTCCCGCCCCTTCTCAGCCCAGTTCCACCCCCTTCCCTGAGCATGCTATGCCCTCGCTCCTCTCCCCTCCCCCTCAGCGCCTCCAGATGCGGCAAAACAGCTGATCAGTAGTAAGTGCTGGGAGGGAGGGGGAAGCGCTGATTGGCGGGTCCCGCCAGCAGGCAGGAGGCACTGCGGGGAGGGGAAGGCTGGTAGGGGGGCTCCTCCTCCTCCCTGCCCGCCCCTCGCCTCAGCTCCCCACTCGTCTCCTCACGAAGTACGGGGGCCCCCAAAGTGCAGGGCCCAGGGTGGTCGCCCCAATTTGCTGTACCCTAGGGGCAGCTCTGTCCGCAGGGAAGTAGGTAACTTTGGGGAAGGGTTTGGGGGGTTAATCCATAAACATAAAAAAATCTTGATTCTTTTGGGTGTAATGGGAGAATGAGGGAGAGTGTTGTGACTTGATGAATTTAGCTTGGAGATTATTCCATGCATGGGCACTGCCTATGAAGAGGAGAGGAACAGTGTGTTTTACTTAGATGGCAATCATTTTTTACCATATATTCTAAGTATTATTTTTTGCTCTGGTTACGTCTCATCATTTTAGAATGCTTTTCTGTTTTCTAATTAGGTGTCAAAACAGCTGTATAGCATGGGCTGCTATGAGATCTCTCTGGGGGACACAATTGGTGTGGGGACCCCAGGCAGCATGAAGAGAATGTTGGAAGCTGTTATGAAGGAAATTCCAGTGAGTGCTCTTGCTGTTCACTGCCATGACACGTATGGCCAGGCTTTAGCCAATATCCTCACAGCCATACAGGTAATTCAGACTCTCTTTACCGATATTGTAAGTAACGTTTGCACTTTAATTCATTTGCTAAACTTCTATGAAGTAAGTGGCAGTTACTTTCTGCATTTTCTATAGTTATTACTATTTTTGCACATGCTAAGGGTACCTCAGAACCCTGATTGTGTCATTTCATAAACCAGTAGAGACAGAAGGTGGGTGAAGTAATATCTTTTGTTGGACTGACTTCTACTGGTGAGAGAGACAAGCTTTTGAGCCACAGAGAGCTCTTCTTCAGGTCTGGGAAGGGTCATTCGAGCATCACAGCTAAATGCAAGGTGGAACACGTTCTAAGGGATCATTGTTGTAATAAACTATAAATCCAGTGTCTGGAACAGCCTCCCAGTAATAGCCCACTTTAATTGATTTGTCTCGTAAGAGTTGGTAAGGCAACCCCCATCTTTTCATGGTGTATGTGTGTGTGTGTGTCTACCTACTGTATTTTCTACTCCATGCATCTGATGAAGTGGGTTTTATCCCATGAAAGCTTATGCCCAAATAAATTTGTTAGTCATTAGTTAGACACGGCTACAACTGCACTGCATGTTTCATAAGCCATTATCAGTTATATATCCTTATTCACTTAATGTCTTCAATGCCACACAAAATAAACACACCAAGACACAGTTGTGGTGATACTATGTGGCTTTGGTTTTAGTGGAAAACGAGAATATAAATTAAATATTAATTAGCCCTCAGGTACCACTTTGTTGGAAGCATGTTGTCTGTCCACAGGTTACCAAAGTGACTGACTGTCTAGCACCATCTAATTTAGAAAGTGCCTCAATATCAAATAGAATGATGTATGATTACTCCTTCGGTGAATGGATTTTGTGTTTTCATACCAGCCATAACAACTTATTTTGAACTGCTCACATGGCATTAACCTAAGGCTTGTTGGTTATCTATTCCACACAGGTAGTAAATATTTTGGATTATTCTTCCACTGTTAACTTGGCTTTGGTGTTCTCTTTCTGTTACCTATTTATGTACATGGAGATAGTAAAACAAGTTAAATCAAACACCTTTCTAACATGTTTAGTTCCCTTTCAAATGTGATTTTAGTTGGCAAAAAGACTTGTGTTTTTAAAAAGTGTTCCCCTTCTATACTAATAATTTTGGATAATAGATATATTGACTTCTTCAAGAAACCTTCTGTACTAATCACTTGTTTTCATTCTACTGTAATTTTGTAAAATATTTTTGGGGCAAAACATTTTCATATTTAGACTCATTCTAAAGGAGAATTTTTTTTAAAGCTTGAAGAAATACAACTTGTTTATGTAATATGGGCTTGTGAAAAATTATCATTTTTTTGTTGAGTTTGTCTTTTATTTCTGCTCTTATAATTGAAACATGGTTGTTTTTAAAAGCTCAAAAAGAGTAGCAGGGAAATGTTTCAATAGGGGCATCTTTCCCATCTTCAGGCCTTGGAGTAGCACATTGCACAGTAAGGTTATGCATCCAAGTTAAGGAGGTTTAAACTTTTGCTTATGGTATCCAAAGCTCATCAACACCCACTTTTGCTGTTGCAAACATAGCTATGTCTCCTGGTAGAAATAAATGGTATGACAGGGTCAGGCCAGATGGCTACAAGAGAGTGGTCAAAGGTAGATACATTAGTTCTAGGTTAAGCAGGTCCCTTTTCCCTGGGTAAGAGAACAGGGTCTATCCAGAACACTCAGGAACTTTCTAGAACTAATTAAGGCAGGCAGGCTAATTAGGACACCTGTAGCCAATTGGGAAGCTGCTAGAATTAATTAAGGCTAATCAGGACACCTGGTTTAAAAAGGCTGTCACTCCAGTTGGTGAGGTATGTGGGTAAGGAGCTGGGAGTGAGAGGACATGCTGCTGGAGGACTGAGGAGTATAAGTGTTAACAGACATCAGGAGGAAGGTCCTGTGGTGAGGACAAAGAAGGTGTTGGGAGGAGACCAAGGGGAAGTAGCCCAGGGAATTGTAGCTGTTGCGTAGCTGTTCCAGAAGGAACTCTAGACAGCTGCAGTCCGTAGGGCCCTGGGCTGGAACCCGGGGTAGAGGGCAGGCCTGGGTTCCCCCAAACCTCCCAACTCCTCACCCAACACAGGAACTTCCACCAGAAGGGAAGGTCTCTGAGCTGGTCCCCGACCCACATGGTGGATCAGCAGAAACTGCGGGAATTGTTCTTACTCTTTTTTCCCCATGCTGGCCAGTGATGAGGTTATCTGAATGAATGGCAGATTTGAGCCATGAAAGTGGCCAAACTGAGGGCTGCTGTGAATCTCTGAGGTAAGCAAAATCTGCCAATAAGTGCAGGACCCACCAAGGTAGAGGAGGAACTTTGTCACAATGGATAATTTCACAGAAAACTGTAAAACCCTTGAGCATGGGAGTTCTCCATAAAAATTCACAGAGAATCGTCTTTCAAATCTCTCCTTAAAATTCATTGGTCTTTTGATGCCTACAAAACACTGAACAATGACTAGGCAGCTGATGTATTAAAACTGCTACTTAATGACCAAATTTGTTTTGCTGTTACCTGGTCCTCCCTACCCACCTTTGTTTGTTTTCTCTTTTGGTTGTCTTTTGTCATACGCTAAGATAGTAATTTCTTTGCAGTAGGGATTGCCTTTTTATGATGTGTGTAGTGTGCCCAGCTCCACAGGTCCTAATCCCTGATTGGGGTTTCTAGGTTCTACCATGATACAAATAGTAAAAAAGAAAAAGGAAAAGTGAAAACAGATTGTCTCACTGATCTTGAATCAGCCTGAGCTTGTCTGATCTTCAGTACTAAATAAGTTTGTACCTAATTTGTAGTTGAGTAACTTTAGTGATTAAAAACACACATAATTTCATTTTGAAACACACTATATGGTACATATTTTTTTCCTGGTGGACAAAGGATAGTGCTCTGGGATATTATATGGGTGGCTGCAGTTTAATTCTTGCTCTTGTCATTGAATAAAATAAACTCAGTCACTACCTTGCAGCTGTATGGATATTGACACATTATTTTGTATATACCAGATTGCAGTTGCTGTTTGTAATAGAACCTAATTCTGTAGTTTTGAGTACAGTTTTCTTCCAGATATATTTATTTATTTTTCATATTCCTATTTGGAAGAGTTTTTGCTTGTGGGAAGCAGGTCAGATGAAACATTTGTCTTTCAGACAAGTGAGTTATTAAGGCATTTTTAGGTGAGTTCTAGTTTGGAAAGACAGCGTTAAAGACCAAATTTTGTACACTCATCCCCTCTGCAGAAGTTCACTGCAGATGCCAGGGTAGAGACAGGTCTTACAGTGCTAGGAGATAAGGTGTGTGGCGTCTGCTATAGCCAGTGATGAGCTGCCAAAAGGTGAAGAACTAGTTCCTTCACTCGTTCCGGGTCTTCAGCAGCACTGATGGACCTGCCGCCAAAGTGCCGCCGAAGAGCTAGTGAAGGACCCGCCACCGAAGTGCCGCCGAAGACCCAGAGCACCGCTGGGTGAGTAAAAATTGCCTAAAGTTAACCATGTGCTTAAGTGTTTTCTTGTTACAGCATTCAAAAGCTTTCTAGCTGTCTCACAGCACACTGTCTGGTTCCTTGTATTCTTTAACGACTGGTTTTAAACTAGCTTCAAAATTTAACAACCGGTTCGCGCAAACCGGCTCCAGCTCACCACTGGCTGTAGCACTATTTACATGGAAGAATGGTGTGCATTGGCTAGTGGCTCCTTCATCCACATCATCCCATAAATCCCCCGCCACAAATGCTCCTTCCATGCTAATTTGCATGTACACCATGGTAGCTCAGCTCTGTGATGTGGCCCACTGTCCAGGTTCTCCATGGATTGTGATTTCCTTTGCCTTCTCTCTTCACTTGCATCAGTTCTGCAGTCTTTCAGGGGCATAGAGACCAGGATCTGGGCCTGTGTGACATATTGGCCTCTCTATGAAGTACAGTGTGGGTGTAGTCTTATGCAATGGAATTAATTAGAAAAAAAAAAAAAAAACCTGTTGAGCAGCAAATTCCACTCCTTCTGAGTCACTGCATACTAAAACCCCAGACTAAGAACTATTGTATTTCCTAAAAACCAATAAATGACAGCAGGGAAGCCACAGATCATTCTACACTAATTTAGTCAGTGCTTGGATGTGAGCTCTCTTGTAACTCATACGTGGAGCAGGAAGAGGTGTTGGTGATTTCAGAAGTAATTTTTTGTACCAATCTCATTGTGTCATGCAAGTTTATACAATTCCAGGATATCTTCTTTTGGATGGGGTTGAACCAAAATACTATAGGACTGACAGGATGAATGTGCATAAGAAATTAGCGGGGAAGTAGCCTTACCATTTAAGTAGTGGGTTTTATGTGTGTTATTTTAACAAAAGGGTAGGTAGTGATAGATGACAGAAATTAGGCAATCTTTAAAAGGTAAGTATTTTTTTAAGTTGTTGAGGGGAATAATAAAGATGAAAAGCATTGACTAGAAAGATATTTCTTTTTTAAAAGATTTTTCTGTATAAATGTAAAGAACATATGAAGCAATATGTCAAAAGAATTAATAAAAGATTTTAAATAGACTGACTGACTAGCTGAAACTTGGCTGAAGGAGGAAATTAAAATATCAGAATATAGACTGTATAGAAGTGACAAGCTCAGCAAGACTGTATGGGGTGTGGCTACTTTGTTAGGCAAATACATAATTTCACTCAAAAATATTGTATGTAGGCTGGATAATGTGATAAAGAGAAAATTTAGCTGAAAGAAACAGTGAAACATATTTATAGGAAACTATTATCAACCTCTAAGGGAGAATAAAAAGATCAGGAAATTTCTGTGTAGGAGAGGTCCAATAAAGTTAGAACACTGATTGCTGGTGATTTTAGTTACCTTGAAATTGACTTGCATAGGATTTGAAGAAGACTAAGACAGGGAGTGTGTTTTTATACACATAGCACAGTACTGTAAACCCACTTAAATAAACTTAAGGGTAAATAAGTAAACACTTTTC